TGTTTACATTTCCAAGATTCTTTCATTGTCTTATCTACTCACCTATCTAGCTCCATGTCCCCCCTTCTCCCCCCCCCCATTCTTTTCTTAGCTGTCTTTGCATTTCTTTCCGTCATAATAGCCCCAAATGTCACGGCAAGACTATTTCTTAAAATCCTCTGTCCACTATGTGCTTTTCCAATGATAAAGTCTCTCTTTTCCCCTGCCCTGCCATCTGCCACTCTTCTTTCCTATACTAACCCTCATCTTTCACTTTCCTTCTTCTCTCGACCATTTCTGACTGGGTCGTGAGTCCATGTCCTTTCTGCCAAGGGAGGGTCTTGAAGGTATGCCGGCCCCACAATTGTCAACCTGCTTTAGCGTAACTCAGTCTTCGTGACGGCCACGTCGGCCACATTAGCTGAGGTTTAAGTCCCCAGAAGTAACTGGTATTTTTCTGTGAATGAATTGGAACCTTTGGCTTTGTTATCTATGTCAGAAAGGAGAAATGGGAAACATTTTTGTCTGTTTGGGGCATTTTCTAGATTTAAACCCAATACTGGGTTGAGAGGGGGATGATGGTTTCCACTGAGGTGAACATTAGCTTCAAGCTTTTCGGGAGGGTTATTAAAATAAAGGTTTTGTATTAAACTTCAGCTTCTTTCTGTGTTTATTTCCTGGTGTTGCATCTTAGTGGGACGGAGAGGTGTGCCCACACCTCGGGCAGGAAGGAGTTCAGACAGGAAATTCAGGTAGGTGATTAAGAGTGGCAAGTGGGGGGAAAAAACCCTTTGATACTTTTCAAAACTTTTGGTTAAAAATAGGGTTTTGTGCCCTGGCCGATTTGGCTCAGTGGATAGAGCATTGGCCCATGGACTGAAGGGTCCCAGATTTGATTCCAGTCTAGGGCACATACCTCAGTTACAGACTTTATTCTGGTCGGGGCGCGTGCTGGAGGCAATTAATCCATGTGTCTCTCTCACATTGATGTTTCTCTCTGTGTGTCCCTCCCTCTCCCTTCCACTGTCTCTAAAAATCAATAGAAAAATATCCTCGAGTGAGGATTTTTTTAAAAAAATAGGGTTTTGTGGCAAGAGGACTTGAAGCACTTATAAGGGCTGGGGAGAAAGGAAAGGGTCATCAAGAGCATGGTTGTTGATGGGAGATTATCTTTAGTTTAGGGTGAAATTAGTAGAACTGGAGGAGCAGAAAGGAAAAGGGGGGGCTGGATGAAACTGCTTTCGATTTCTGGGTGTCCAGATGGTTTAGCATTCAGACCCTCTCTACTCCTCATTCTCGCTCTTGGTTAAGGGCATGGTTAATTAGAATGCTTTCCACCTTTTCTCAGAGAGCGTTTTTATGCCCCCCTTCAAGTACTGTTCACTATTACCAACAATATTCATGGAGTCACACGGTGAGTCCATGTCGCCCGGCACTACTGGAAATGGGTAGAAAGGAGAAAACATGCAAGGACTCA